CAGGAATTTCTTCATCAACCGAACTGTGGTTTGTTTCAGAGCTATTACTCACCAGTACTGCGCGATTCCATTTAAATTGATCCCACCTTACGACAACTTTGGGACAATGCGCCTATCAGTTTTCATCCATCCGTCTTTCCGAGCTATGAACACTGGCGCTCCCTTCTGTAGGCTGATTAGTTTTCTAAAAGTAGCCTTCTTATGCGCCTCCAGTCGTACTGCACCGCGCAGATCCACCGTGTGCCCAGGAATTGGCCCAACTCCATGTGAGTAGTTTCGTGGTTTCCTGTCCGTATAATGAGAAACATCAAACGCCAAACGTGACCGGAATGTTTTCACAAGAACAGGATGCTTCATTAGTCCGTAAATAAGCAAAGGGCCAAATATAGCCCAATCGCGTGATGTTGAACGCGTTGGCGAAGCCGCAACGGTTGCAACGTGATAGTCACTTCGTCATCGGTGTTTCTTCCTTGTCTCTGTTTTCTCGTTGAGCGATCAGTTCCTCTCACGTGTTGTCGCGACATTGTCCGTGCCTTTAAAAGTCTCTGTCCAAGGTCTATCGCTAAAACTTTCAGATGAAGTGCCCTTTGGCGAGCAGTCCCACTGCAGCTGAGCTTCTTGAAGCCAGCAAAAAGCTATACGTAAAAACTGACGTGCTGAGACAGCGAAAAATCGGTACGTTTTCACTTTCCGTACAGTATAAACTCTACTCTATTACATTTATGGTCAGTTTCCTGTTATGATGTCATGCAGACCTTCTAAAATGTAATACTGCGCAGTTGCCTCTGAATACCATGTTTTGGTCTGGTGGTTGTACGTCAACACTGGAACGTAGGGTGTAATTTTACCTTAGTCTCTTTAGAAACCACTGCGTCACTGCATTCTTTATTACGGTGACCCACTTTATGTGGTACAAAACGATTTTCGCTATTATAAAAATTCATATTTCCCTTTTCCCAAACAAACGAGTCAAGACGGGAAGATAAAATGGAAATATTTATTAATTTAATTTAAGCAATTTTGATCGTAACTTTCTGGACTATTAGGGTCCAATCCATGGTGCCACTTTGCGACAACTGAAGCACAACCGACGCGGACGGTAGGAAGGCCTGAAGGGGCCCACTTATTTTCTGAAATCGCACTCCTTTCACTTATTTCACGCACACACTATAGAAGAAGTAATCAGCGTAAAGGCTGGATGCGCATTTGTTGACTTCTGCAATTTCGAATAAAAGCCGGCTGCATGGCGCATCCCAAAAATCACAGCTGTCCACTTCAACTTTGTAGTGGTGATAAAATAGCAAAGTAGCGACCCATTGGCTCATCTAAAATTCAAGTCATAGATGTTGAAACAAGATGACACGCTCATTCGGCTAGTGTTGAAAACGCACTTTTATTGACCATTGTCGCTTTTTACACTGTAAAAAATCGAAAACTACAATTTGGCTGTGACATTTGCTCCCAGTCATGTCCCACCAAGTAACAGGCTGGCGTAGAAGGGTAGTGGGCAGGGCAGCTGGAGGCCCTGAGTGAATCTTTATGTAGGCAAAATGTAAAAAAAAAGTACGGTAGCGCATCTACCGTATATAAAGGGGTCATATACAGTAGCGGTCAAAAGTGTTCGCCGAAACGATTTTAGTGCATTATTTTTTCTCGCTTGAGCAACGCCCTCCAAAGATTGATATACTATGTTTTCTAGTGTTTTTATATCCTCAAGTTTAAGAATCAGGATGTTCAAAAGAAAAAATTTTCGAGGCCACCATTGATTTTTTTCTGGCAAAAAAAGAGAAGCACGGAACAACCGTTCTCGGCGAACACTTTTGACCGCTACTGTAAATAAATAAATAAACTCCATGAAACGGTTTTTTTTGGCGAAAACCTTCCTAATGAACACAATCTTCATATTAACTCCATGCACTAATAAGGCAATAAGCAGAGAACTTAAAGGCACAGGCAGTGTAGGGATTATCGAAAAATGGAAGTAGGTGCGTGGTTCGGTCGACCAGTGATGGTGAGAGGAATTTATAAGCTCCGAACCTCATTCCAAAAGGCTTTCATATTTTTCCCAATCAGGCTTGAAGTCGTGTTCTTTGCCGACATATTGGATTCATGAGTTATTGGTCTGGAAAAATTACCGATAAAGAAAACCAATCGAGCGGAAAGCAGACTGAAATGGCGCAAGGCTGTTTCAAACTTTCCAACAAGAACCCCAGACAGCAATCTGCTGTTTAGGATCCTTGTCAAACTATTCCGCTTTACCCGAGGATATACTCGATATGAAATTTTATGGAAACAAATTTAAAAACGGAATTATTCTGATTTGAATAAGTGGTGTTTAGAACCCGGACAACCACGTCTATTCCAATCGACCGACGACGAGGATCAGCCATGCCCAAAAGTGAGTCGTATTTCCCCTGTCTCAAGCTACAGGTGCCCGTGACCCTACCAAACGTAAACGGTTCCTGTCTATAAATAGAAGCTGTCTTCTTCTGGTTTCGCTTTAAGCTTCTGGTTTCTTTCTCCGCATTAGCGAATGGAACATTGAAATTGATAACTTCTCGAAAATTCTTCCAGTCCAAGTTTTGCTGTCCTTCAAGCATTCTCCGCTTCTTTCCCATTTCCAAATATAATACTATGCCCAACGTCAAAACTACTTTCAGCTGCCGTCTCCCTCATTGGTCATTCCTCATATCCCATCGAAGCGATCCGCGTTTCGAGTAGTCCGTGAACCACTTTCTCCACCGAAAAGTGAATCAACTCCTCAGCGGGTCGCAAGGTGGGTCATTTCCCATTTCCCAGAGAGAATTGCGGCACATATCGTGACGGGGTCATTTTTTGTCGCCGTCCGCAGAGTTACACGCTCGCCGAGTGGCACCATAAACCCATCATTGAAGCACTTAATGGAATCACATTTCAGATTTCCTGTGGCTGTGATCACTTCTCCTCCCCCTCCACTGCATCCGCGAAGTACCTCGTTGTCGCAGGACTCTCCCCCATCGGAGCAGCCTACTCCTGGTTGGAAGCCGACACCCAAACCTCGGTTGAGCATAATGGTACGTATATGTTTTTTCAAGCTCGGGTTCTATTATTTCCCAGTATAGTTTATTAATTACGGTAGTTAAACCCTCGCCAAGAGCCAGTTGCAAATCTTAGCATCACGGCAGTGGTAGTAGTCCCGTCGCCAAAGTCTAGGGGCTCCAATACTTTATTCAAAATCAGAATAGCTGATAGAAGGGCACGGACGAGCGTTTCACAGTATTTGTTCCAATGTAGCTTATTCTTATGAGCCGCAACACAAACGCGCGCGGCAACACCCTGCATACTTAAAATTTCTGCATAGCTATACTGATAGGTAAAATACACTGGTGAATTTTTCACTGTAGGTTGGAATTGTTTCAGCGCTCAATGGTGGAACTATCAACGGTGGAACCTGAGCAACCACGCCCAAAGCCACGACGAAAGGTGCTGCTTAGCGAACCGACTCCTGATGGACCACAAACTGCCGTCCATAACCCGATCTCTATCGAGGCCTTGCAGAACTCACCATTGGGATACAGAAAGAAGTGCATCAGTAAGTTTTTAATTCATGCTTTATCTTTATGTAATCAATCTTGGAATGAAAAACTTATCTGGTCATCTTAGGTTGCTATCGCACCCATCTTACAAGGAAAGGATGGTAGGTCGAAGTGGCCGTATAAAATGAGATGTATACCACCTGATGCGTCTCTAGACGCTGATTCCAAATCTGCCTTCCAAATCTGCTAAACGACTCTTCAGGGAGGGTTC